AAATTTCCGTATCTATTAGATATACAGTAAACATTAAAAGAATATCATGTATAAATGGTGGAATAGGTACTGTGCAATAAAAATCATTGTACGTTTTGTTTCGCATGGGAACAATACACCCTTGTTTTCCTAAAATAGAATCTGAATGCTAAATCAAAAAGTATATTTTTTTATTTGTTAAAATATATTGATACGTCGCATAATTGTTTATTACAACAATAAAGAATGTTCGTGTATTAACTAGGATATTATTTTTCAGTTGATCCATCTCATAACGTGAGTGAAAGAACTGCAACCATAATTCCAACAACGTTACGAGAGGTATTCTTGGTACTTTAAATAATATTTACGCGCTAAATCCTGTTCACTAAAAGAGGAACGAATGGAAGCCTCGAAACAATAAATATGATTCATACTATATATACTGTATAACAACAATAAGAATGATGATAGTATTTCTACCGACAACGAATTCCCGGATTTCCCTTGTTGAACAACGTAACATCATTTATTTTTGGATATTACCTTCCTTATTTTAGTTAATTTGAATACGTGTGATTGTGTTCTTGTCGGAGGTTACGTATTGAAAAACCCGAAAGAAGGATTAATCACGTACTTAAAAGCTGGCTGACACCGTCTGTTCACGAATTATTTTTTTTTCAAAAAAAACATCAGAATAACCTAACTTCTCATAAAAGAGCATAATTACATCCAGGATGACTTCAATAGAAGAGAAGGCACAAAACGGTCAGATTCTTTCGGTAACTGACATTAAAGAAGAGATCATAAAAAAAAAAGTTGTAGCCGTTTCCAAGGAAGAATCTGCCACGGAAAAACAAACGTCCACTGTTAAGGAGACAAGCATTGAGAAGAAGAAATGTAATTCTTTGTTACTATTATCCTTTGATTGCATTTGCAACCTTTGAATTAATTTCCTTTTAATATAACTTCTTAACCAAAGCTCCAAGAAATAAAGTTTTACCCACCACAGGTAATCATTAAAATTCTGATATTACAGTAAACGGTCAATTCTTGATAAATCAAGTCGAAACTCGCAAGCAGGATAAAATAACAGAATTAGTATCTAGTTTGAGTATTCACTGTATTAAAGAAAAAGTAATCATATCTTTTTGTAAAAACAATAGATTCCCAGCAACAATTTCTCTCGATTCCCAATGATGGTAAGGAGGTCGTTCGAACACCCTGCTTGAAGGAATTTATCATTCATTAGCTTACCTTTGCATATCGATTTCATGATATTCTATAGTTGTTGAGGAAGGTGACTAATAACTTGGTCGATATGACGGTCAGAGTTATCGGCTGTATAACAATGTCAAATGTTTATTACCATCATTGTGATACCTTGAATTTTGACATCTCTGTGATATACAGTAGATATATGGCACGAGTGTTTTTACTTATGCCACAAGTTCATGAAATTTATTCTTTTGAGTCGTTTTTATCCAATAATCACGCATTCAATATATCTTCAAATTATTATTTTAAGAACAGGTTAATAAATAATATTTCCAGTGTTTGGTAAAAATTCTTTGATTGGCAAAATTTTTCTATTATAAATGACTTGGCGAACTATTACCTGCCTTTATACAAAACCGAGGATCTGAATCGTTATACGTAATATTACATGCGGAACTTCCAAATATGTAATCGGAATCCGGTCGGTGAATTTGCAGTTATCTTTGGGTGAAAATTCATTCAATATAATCTGTTGTTTTGCAGCGTATTGATAAAAAATCTAGCTTATTATTATGATAATTAATCACGAAATTACATATTCATTTGTTCACTTGTATTAATTACAATACATAATATTATAATTATAATACATTACTGTGTATGTATAACGTCAACTTTTATTGTAAATATTGTAATTTGTCTGTTAATTTCTATTACTTTTATTAGAGTTATGATTCACCAACTTCACTGTTGCTTACGCCGTTTTCATGCATAACGATTCTTCTTATCATCTGTATGACCTCTTCTGATGTTGCCACGTGCCATCCTGCCATGGTTTTTTTATTCGCTGCACCTATGGTCGTGCAGAAATAGATGTCCTCAGGCAGTTCTGATTTTTTTATTACTCGGAACATATCCTCATCGGTTCGATCGTCACCCGCGCAGAACACGAAATCCACGTCAGGCATATTGGTTAGTAGGCGTCTCACAATTTCACCCTGGTTTTTTTTTTAAAGAATAAATTTTCTGTGAATCTAGAAAACAACAAAGTTTGGATCCGTGAATTGAATGAGACGGACCAATTGAACTCACCTTGTTGATCAACGTGGGACGTACTTCCAAATTTTTCTTACCGGCCAAGATTTCCACAGGCAATTTTGGTAATATTGCACTTTCGAGGTGGTTTTGACATTCTTTGGCTTGAAATGCACTATTTAGAACACTTTGATTAATATATTATCATATTTGACAACACGCGTGAATCAATATCATTACTCACCCATATTCAGGATCGGCCTGTCGGTAGTGCCAGGTGATCGATGATCGTTTGTATTCAATAGATGAACCTTGAGTACGCTCAGTAAAATATGTAAATATTTCATCGACATCATGCATCCATGACATATCTATATCTTCAGTGAGATTGATCCATTTATCACTATCCGGGTTCTTTAAGAAAGAACCGTGCTCGGCGCTATATAAAATAAGTTTAAATTTTTTGTGAAAAAGCAAAAGGGATTCCATTGTAAATCCTGTACGCTCGTAATAAATTAAATTACCTGAAGCCAAGTTTCTTTACCTTTCCCAACCATCTCTGTAATGACTCTTGATCTCGTCCTGACACCACCCAAACAGTGTTCTTTGGATCGTTGGTGAGTTCCTGCAGTAGTTCAAGCATATGAGGTGAAGGTACTGCTTGACTTGGTGTATTCACGATTGGTGTGAGCGTACCCTTTGTTAATCAAAATAAAGGTTAATGGACGCGATGTAAAAAAAAAAAAAAAAAAACAGATCATAAATCTATCAATAGGACCGATTACAATACATCGTAATCAAAGAGTAACAACCGCCTCTTTGCAGCTTTGTATTTCTTCAATAACGTTGGAATATCTAAGTAAGGAGTTACGTTTGTTTGATCTCGGATGCTTAAGCTGGATAGGAGCTCTTTGATAAATGATCTAGCCCAGAATTGAGCGGTGTGGCTTGTCACATGTTTTAACAATTGCTGTATTAAGGTATAAAACACGTAAATTATTTGAGAATAGATACAACATTCATGACTGATGAAAATGAGTACCATATGTTTAACCCGTTTTTCTTCAACAGGCAACAGTAGGGCGTCATTAATAGCCTTGGCGACACCGGTGTAATCCCATGGGTTTACCATAATCGATGCACTCAGCGATCCTGCCATCCCTGTGAATTCACTTAATATCAGCGGTCCATAATTCTCTTGTTGGCACATGATATACTCTAGTGAGGTAGTGTTCATTCCGTCACGCACCGAAGTAATTAAACCTATGTCGGCCACGCTCAGTAACGCAAAATAATCAACTTCACCGGTGTTATTGTGGTAGTGGTGAACGGGTGTATATTCTAAGGATCCATAGGTAGCATTTATGTGGGCGATGAGCTCTGCGACCTTACGTTCAAGTTTTGGTGATTCAGTGAGCGCAGGTGATGTAACTTGGATAAGCACAACCTGGACATGAATTTAACACAAATGTTATATAATACGCTCTTCACGAGAAGGTCATTTCTCGCATACGGAGGAAGAGAAAGAAATAGATTTTACTTTATTCTGCCAGGCCGGATATAGGGACAAAAATTTATCGAAGGCGCGTAACTTTTGGATTACGCCTTTAACCAAATCCAATTTGTCCCTACCAACGATGATCTTCTTTCCTGGAAACATTTCCCTGATCGCATTCATTCTTTGTAAAACTTCAGGTTGTTTCCTATTTTCGCCGAGTTGACATCAGAAATGGAAAGTTTAGGCAAAACGTTGAACGCGTGATTCTAGACAGATATATATGCACCTTTGTTTTTCAATCCGTCCAGTATCGATACCAATCGGGAATGGTCCGACCGAAACTATTGATCCCTTGCAATCGACACCACCAGGAGTAGATTCGTATCCAAGAATGCGCGTACAATTGCTGGTGAAATGTCGCGCATAAGAATACGTCTGCATGATTAAAAGGTTGGATACGAAGGACGCGTGCGACGTTACATTCGACCTTTAGGGTAATTCTTTCACAAAACACGTCCCAATTATTCTTACCTGAAATCCTATTTGATTGGCCCCTAACATCCCATTCAACACTTCTTTTCGTCTCGGCAAACATCGAAAGATTTCCGAGCTTGGGAAGGGAGCATGAATGAATAGACCGATCGCCGCATTTGGTATCCTCTTGCGTAACATTTGAGGTACCATCAAAAGATGATAATCGTGTATCCAAACTACATTATTATTTGAGTCATTAGAATCGGTTTCAATTGGAACGATAAATTTGAAATTTACCTAAATCACCAGGTTGATAGACTTCACAAATCTTGTCAGTGAATCTTGAATTCACCTTTAAATATTGTTCCCAGTTGATCTTCTCCTCACGACCATCAGTCGCATTTTCCCATAAGATGTAGTGGAATAATGGCCATAGCACTATTCCCAAGGAGGAATTCGTATTTGACAATAAATCAATGATCAGTATCCATTTATGAAAACAAAAAGCTATCGATGCTCATGCTTACCGGTTTTACAGAATCCCTCGTAGTGACCATGATGTTCCGCATCCTCAAGCCACACAGGTACCACCTTGAACTTAGCTAAACAACCCTCCAAGCTCTTTTTATGGTCATTAGTGAGATGACTCGACTCCACCTGCTTTTCTTCGTCAAACACTGGACCCACAAATCCCACATGATAGTTATTCCACTCAGCATCCAACGAACGAATACCTGAGTAGAGGGCGGAATGACCTCTTCGTGTTGTCAGTTCCCACTGCACGCCCTCCGTATCCGAGACCTTCATGCGAGGGTCGAAAGGAATCATATGAGTTACGTTTATAATTCTTCGGTTTGTAGTCATCCCGTCGGGAGTGGCGTCAGAAGCACGTGCATTTGAGGTGCTCATTTGCGAAGAATCCATTTTCATCATATTCGATAATTTAAGGTATAATTTTTTTTCCGCGTAATGGTGTAACTACGGAGCAAAACAAAGCAAGGGAAAGAATGTATTTATACTTTCGGGCCTGATTGATTAAAGAGATTAATTCTTACACAATGTACACACAGTGCACCGCACCGGGCAATCCACACCGTTACGTAAAAGAGACTCAATATTTACTGAAATTTTTTTTTTTGCAGAATTACCAAATCGAATTTGCCACTGATGATCAGGGTCGCACAATTGCATCATCTTCTAATAGGCCTTTACCTTCTCATGATTTCTCTTTCAATTATTAATTATGTTATCTCGCGAATCTTGTGCTATAAAATTAGAGATCACGAAAAATGAGATGTTGCCCATTCAAAATCAATCTCAATTCTCTATTTACCATTTGTCGGGTGACAATTTAAGTTCACAATCACAATAATAATTTCCGATGATTTTCTGTCCCATAATTGGCGACACTAAATTACGATTATATTACTTATCTCTCTTACTGATAAAGTTATCCAGTTATGGAGTTAGGTCCCTCATCACAATAAACCATGCGAATCGGGTTCTCAAGTGCATATGCAAAATACCAAAAAGACTCATGTCATTAAGGGGAAATAGATAGTAAGATTGCTATTACATTTATGCTTTATCAGATATTATATAATTATATTCATATCGGATAATGGCATGACCAGTCCGTGAGAATCAATATCATGTGATCAAATTTAGCCTCGTCATTTTCGGATATTCTGATTTAAGTAATTTCGGCAAATAGTACTCTCTTGTTAAAGTATCCACTACTACTACTTTTTTTTTTAATATTTGAACTTTTGCCCTAGAATATAAGAGACCAGGGGTATTATATGGTAGTACTTTGATTTTCATTACTATCTTTCATATTTATAATTATCTAAATTTAAAACATCAATTATCAATATATACTGTATATATTAAATATATACTGTATATACAGTATATAATCTTATGTGTAATACTGACGTTTGTATAAATAAATAATTTGTACATCATTACTTTATATTTTTTTTATATTTATATATTAAAGAATGTATTTTGTCAGAATTAATAATATTATTAACTATAATTAATATTTTTCAAAATAATCAAAAATAGTATTTATGTGATTATAATAAAACATTTAAATTAAGCCTCTTATTTTATTTATTTATTATTATTTTTTTTGTGATATTTCAATAACTAGTTGATAAAATAAGATAAAAATTTAATTAATAATATAAAAAATAAGTAATTTTATTTATATTATAAAATAAAAATTATAAAAATTATTAAAATTATTTCAATATATAAATTTGTTAAATAAAAAAAAATAAAATAAAAAAATAATAGTTATTATTTTTTTATTAAATACAAAAATTATTTATTAATTAATTTAATTAAATATAATAATAAATATATTATAATTTTTTTTTTCTGTAATCAAACAAGTATTTATAATATTTATTTAATCATTGGAAATGAAAACATAAATATATAGTACTTTTATATATAAATTAGTTTAATACTTGAATACCTGTTATTAATTAATAATCTCTAAGTATGGTCTTAAAGATAAATAAAATTGCTCCCTCTTCTTTTTTGTTCCTAAGAAAAATTAAGTTCATTATTCACGATTCATTATTATGATTCACTTCAGTAAGATTTTGATTACTTTTATATTCTCAACTACTTAATACCTTCTTTGATCTTATTCCATATAATTTTTATAAAAGAAATTACTGAAATCTTGTCATTAATCATCATATTTGCTCATAATACCATTGATATATCTTTTGTTTTTTCTTATTAACTATAGCCTTCTTTTCTTTGCCTTTACCTTTAATTGTATCTATACTTCTTGAAGTTTGATTTGTTTCTTTTCCCTTTTCTTGTAGTTTGAAGCTAAAGTCTGACTTGATTAACTTTTTCTGTGTTTCTTGATTCCTTTCTTTTATTTTATCTTTTCCTTTGTCTCGAGACTTGCTATAATCATGGAATCTTTTACATTTTACATTTCATATTTGTTGACAGAACTTCTTATATCAGTTTAAGGATATTCTGTTTAGGATCTTGTGTGTTATTGTTTTGTGGATTTGAACCAACCATAGGATCTTTATCCATTCCATTATATCTGCCCATGTCTATAATCCTATGTTGAAATTAATAATCTCTTTTACTGTTAAGAATTTGTTTCTCTTTCATTTGTTCATTAGTTCAATAATTGATATAGAGTTCCATTTTCCATTTTTTTTTATTTTTTGTTATGTTCTTTGGAATCCAAGATAAGATTGTCTTGTTGGTGACATCTGTCCATATTTCATTTCTCTTTTCCTAAAGTTCTTTACATGTAAGCAAGTGATCTAGTATTTCCTCCTGATCCTGACAAAAAACATATTTGATGTTCTTGGGCTGCTTCTAAATATTATGTTTGACTAAATTATCCATTGTTGATAATTCATTGTGGATAAGTTTGATTTTGAATGTTTTTTCTTTTATAAGTTTGAAGGATATAGTTAGGGATTCTTTACTATTATTGTGGAACCAGAAATCTCTTCAATTAAATTCATTGTCTTTCTTTAACTCTTCTTTATATTTTTGTTGGATTCTATTAAAAGATATTCATTGTATTAGGATCTCTTTTTTATTATACTCTTTAATAAAGGTTCATATTGAGATATTAATTAAAATACCATTTCATTCTGATACTATAAATGGAATTATTAACGATAGTATTTTCTATTCTATTTCTGCTTTTTCTTTTACTGCCTTGGCTAATAGGTTTACTTGACTATTTAACTTGTTTTTGTTATGAGCTTTGACTTTGATGAGTTTTACCTATAGATATTTTTTAGAGATTGTACTCATTAGTCTTAATCATAGTTGTTAGTTTAATATTTTCATATGTCTTCTTATTGTGTTTTTTGTATAAGGTCTATATAGTCTCGTGAAGGTAATTATATATAATGTATTATCTGTTTTAATCTCTACAACCTTGTCATTTGATATTGATAATATTGTAAAAGGATTGCTACCAGTTCTGCTTTTATAGATGATAGCCAATTATCAACTCCTACTTGAAAGGATCTGCCTGAATTTGGTTCCTCAGTTTGAAGCCAGGCCACTTCCATTCTTATCGATTGATCAAGTACTTTTTCCATAACTCCATCTGTATAAAATTGATAGGAACCTTGATAATTGTTGTCTATATTCATTCTATATTCTAAACAAAGCCATAAACAGTAGTCTTCTGATACTATATTGTCTTGAATAATTTGTATTCTATAATCTTCTATTTCTATATATTGCAATTTTGATAGGGTTGAATTATTAGGTTGCAATTCACTCAGTTTGGTTTTGGCTTGACTTTTCAATATGTGAATTTCTATTGGAATCAAGAGTTTTTTACTTTTTCTGTATTTCACAATTTTGTTTATCCAGTTGAAGAAGAATAAGGAATTTTAGCTGATGTGTTCTTGAATTGTTTCGATTTTTGAGAATTTGATTATTCCTGGAGTTAATTCTACACTGATTTGAAAGTACTCTGTCCCTGGATTGCTTATTGATTTTGAGCTTCTGCTTCTGAACCAAAGGAGTTTTTGTTTTGTTTCTATATTCCAGCTCACTTGCCAATTCTATCTTTTGTGATCTATTTGTCTATTTTATATAAAGAGTATTCTGTTTTGTAGTATCCAATCAAAACTTCTTCAACTTTGTTTGAGAATACCAAATTTATTTGTCATTAGTTGTTTGATAATCTGATATTAGCTTGGTGAAGGTTCTTGTCTATAATTATTTAGAAATTGTATAACTTTCCAGTTTAGAAGTAAGTTGTTTTTACTATCTATTAATTAATTAATGAACATAATATTATGTTTTTTTAGGAATTTCACTGCCTTGATATAGATAAAGGGATTGTTTAATAATGTCTTAACTATCAGATATTCTCCTTTTCATTAGAAGATATCTAACCATTGAGAATCTGAAAATGTGATACCTATCCTATTCATTGACTTAAGTATTTGTACTGAGAGATTTCTTTTATAGTTGTTATGGAATATATCCTTGGTGAAAATATTTGCTGGCTTCCAATATTGTATCTGTACTTCTTTAAGTCAGATTAGGGTGGATATGCCTGAATAATTGTTACTGTTTAATTGGTTTGTGAGGTTGGTGATTTGGTTTTGAACTGTATTTCCCAGATATTTTTGATTTTGTATAAGAGTTTATAGTATATAACAGAAATAAACATTGTTTCTACTATGTGCACTACTCTTTTTAGTATTTTTTGAAGTTGTGTTAAGAGGCAGTTGGCCATGTAAAAGTTGATTGAACTATGTTGTAGCCTATATTCTATTCTGGGGATGAGAACTCTATTGATTATATATTCTGTATACTTGTTGGTAATCAACTTTTTTTTCAAGTTTGATAAGACTACTTGGATTTTCTGTTGAATTCTATTGTATGTATCTTTTGTTTAGTCTTTATTCCCTAACCAAATGCCTAAGAATCTTGAGTAACTATTATAATCTAATTCTATGACTTTTTCTTGTTTGATGCCCAGGTGAATTTTGTTAGGGTTTTTGTTTTTGCTATTAATAGTTATTAATACAGACTTGTTTCCATTAATCTGTGAGTTATTCACTACATAAAACCATTTAACTTGTTTCAAAATATGCTTCATATCTTTTCAAGATCTTATTATTCAAGTAGTATTATCTATATATACAATTGTTGCTTGTCTTATAAATAATTTTCATGGTTTCTTTGAGTTGATTAACAGGTTACTGAAATCTGATTGCTAGGAACATTTCATGAAGTATCCTAATTTTTCATTTTCTTGGATTTCATATAGTAGAGAGTCATAAAAGATTTTTCAAAGGAGTAGAAAAATCATTTTCCCTTAATCGATGCCATCTTCTGCTATTACTTCCTTTGTTAGTTCTATATTTATAATGATCTTGATTCTTTTT